TCTAAATGGAAGTGTGTATGTGTGTTGAGGGCAGTATACAGCCCCTGGGCTTTAAATACTACCTTCTTCCAAATCCATAGCTGTAAATGCCAAATCACCATTAAACCATGCTTGCCACTAGCAGTACAGATGTTATTAGCAGTCATGCTGAACCACAGAGTTGCAGTAAGGACTAGATCCACAGTCCACTTAAGTCAGTGGGCATTTTTTCACTGACTTCAGTTGGCTTTAAATCAGGCGCTAACAAAGCTAGCTATGGGAAGACCTACCAAATACACAATGCTGAAATATGTGTTTACTCGTATAACCAAGAGTAGGCCGACATATGGGGATAGCTTTGAGTATTTTTTGTTAGCTATATGATGTTCTCACCTTTAAGCACAGAATGAGTTCTGTAGCTGGAAGCTGTATAAAATGTTAATCAGGGCTAACAATGTCCAGAGTTCATATTTTTGTGTAGAAAGATCAGTGTCAACACAAAAGGTTAGAAAAAGTTGTGCCTTAGTGGGTTATTCTATGCAAAGATTTTGTCAACTCACACAAATCACAGGCAGGCCAAATACAGTGAAATTCCAATGCTGAGTCATCTGCCATGTCGTGCTAGCTGTCATCAGAAAGAAATAAGGGAGAGGGAGAAGCAGTTTGTAGCATGCCATATGAGGGAACATTCTTGCATCTCAGTAAAGATTCAAATTTACCTGGGAAGCAGGGCATTTGTTTTAGTGATAGAAAGTTTATATATTCCTATCCAAACTCTCTGCCCTACCCCCACAAATCAGAAACTCCTAGTACTAGTGAAGGGAGCTTGTGGAATGAAGGTTTTCTCCCATTGCAGATCAAGTCACAGGAATTCATAATGCAGCCTGCTGTGTCAAGAGTTGAAATAATTCCCTGACTGAAAAAGTTTGGTGCCAATTCTGGCCAGGCCTTTCTAATGGCCTGTAGCAGCTTTTATGAGGCCATTGGGAAAGCACCTGATAGTTGTGAGAATAATTAGTTAAACATGACATATCTCCTCAAAATACCGTGTTTTGTTAGGCTATGTCTACACAGCAGTGTTTTGGAATAACTGGCATTATTCCGAAATAACATAGTCGGCCTCTACACTACATGTAGTTATTTTGACATGTCAAATAATGTCGAGCTGGAGGACTTCTTACTCCAACTCCTGTAACCCTCATTTTACAAGGAGTAAGGGAAGTTGGAGGAAGAGTGCTTTTTCTCAGAATTCCTGCGGATATTGCTATAAATGAAACTATCTTAATTTGTTTTCATGCTTTACCACTTTAAAATATCTACTTTACACAGCCAGTGTCAAATATGTCAAAATAATATTAGCACAGGTAAGTAAAATATCTTTTTATAAGGTTTTAAATCATTTCTACTACAGCTTAATGTACAAAGCTACAGATTTTTCCAATTTGTCCATGAGGTTATGTATCACAGATCTTAAATCATTTAAGGTTTTTAACCTGAGGGGTTCACTTGCAGTCATGAACTGGAAAGCAGATTGCAAGAGACATTGACATGCTGATCAATGACACGAAGCCTCCAAACAAATCAGTACAGGACTTTAAGAGATGAAGCCTTACTGTGTTCTGTCTGTCATCAGAATTTATAAAGCATCTCAGTAAAAGCCCCTTGAGAGTCAGTCTTACAATTTTGCAAGTCATGAGCATGTTTGTAAAATCTGATTTTTTTTTAAACACAAGCAGCCTTGTAGTAGCATAGCAAAAATATAGTCTACAATGTTGGCATAAGAGTGCTAAGAACTTGTTTAGTTAGATAACATCTTTTCTCAAACAACAGCTTATTATCTTCTTTTTTTCTAGTTCTCAGCATTCTTACTTTGAATGAGTTACTGGTAAACTCTAAAAAGGTGTATCTGAATTTTAAGACATTAACAAAATAAATGCCAAACAAGCTCTCACCTCTTTCTAGACACTATGCAGATGGACATATTATATGATATCTGTGCTTTAACAAGTACAGCTGTCCAGGAGTTTGGTTCGTTTGTTTTCAAATAATGGGGAGAAGGTTAAACATACCCAACTCATTTATATGAATTCTGAAAGAGGGGTGGTCATGGTGGTATGCATAAATGTGACCTGGATCCATACTGATCCTGATTTTGGATTTAGGGAGGGACAAAATATGGCTGACCAGGCTTTGAAAAGCATTATTTATGAAGGATTAAAATTCTCTTCTGCCAATACTTTAGACTATAGGTGTGGTTTTCCACCTCTTTGCACTGGATATAGATATTTTTGTGCTTGCAAATAATGGGAAATCAGATCAGAATAAGAATGCAGAATCCAGCATCTTTGCATGTGACATTATTATTTATTTGTATTGCAATAACATCTACAGCAGTGTTTCTTAAACTTTTTAAGACCAAGAAACACAAAACAATATTTTTTTAATGCAGAACACTAAGGTTTTTTTTTTGTTGGGGGGGAAAAAAAGCCCCCAGGGAACAGTTGTTGAGAGGGAAAAAAAAAGGATGTTTGTCCCTTTAAGGGTGGCCATTTTGAATTCTGTTCTCTCCACGGCACACCTCCGAATGCCTCGCCATGAAACACACTTTAAGAAATGCTGATGTATAGGGCAGGGCCCTATTGTGCTTGGCACTGCACAAGCATAAACAAGGGGACTGTTCCTGCCACATTACAATATGGCTGTGTCTAGACTGCATCCCTTTTTGGTAAAAGGGATGCAAATTTGACACATCACAATTGCAAATGAAGCGGGGATTTCAATCCCCCCTGCTTCATTTGCATAAATTCCTCAGAGGAATAAGGGATCTTTTGAAAAAGGCTTTATTTTCCAAAAGATCCTCGTCTAGACTGGCGCTTTTTTCCGGCAAAGCTCTGAGCCGGAAAAAAGCGATAGCCATGTTTATGCAAATGAAGCAGGGGGGATTGAAATCCCCGCTTCATTTGCAATTGCGATGTGTCTAATTTGCATCCCTTTTATGGAAAAGGGATGCAGTCTAGACACAGCCTATATGTTTAAGAGGATAGGAAACCCTTGTGTTCTTGGCACCACTGCAAATGGTAAAATTTGTGAATACTGGGAGCTACAGCTCCCAGACCATGCGGTGAGCTCCCCATGGCTCCTAAACTCACCCCAGGGTGGAAGTCATGGGGAATTCACTGCAGGAAGCTGGCAGCTGCAAGGAGGTCCCTGTGCCCCCCACAAACTCTTCCAGGCCCGGACAGGAGACTCCTGTGAATATGTGGAAACATGAATAGTGATTCTGCGAATATTGAGGTCTCCTGTATGGACAATTGATAGATAAAACAAAGAGCTGGGGCACACACGGAAACAATAAAACAATACCAATAAACATGGTATTAGTAAACATAGGGAACACCTAGAATCAACTGTCTGGTTACTTTTGACTCGTTGTATATGCATCATGGCAGAAGTGACCCTTAAGAAATGATTTAAGGAGACCAATAAGGTGGCTTTGCAGATTTTTATAGGGAAGTTCCTCCCATGCAAGAGGGGCAGCATGGCAGAACCACAAAGGTGTCTGCTGGGTAATTTTTTAACTGGGGGTTTGAGTCTGGCATAATTTACAGAACAGTGACATGGTTTGATTACTTAATAGTTTATAAAAAGTTATAGGCAGGGCGGGGATAGACTTGGAAGGACCTTTAAAGTGAAAACAAATAGTTTATATTTGATACAATAGAGGGAGGGAGAGCTGATGATGCAGCCAAATTGATGAACCTGGGAATGACCTTCGCAGCAGCATTTTGGAATGGCTATAAATGGGGTAAGAATCTATTTGTCCATGCCAGAGAGGGGCTTTCAATTATTACAGAAGATAGTCGGGTCCTGATACTGTGCTGTTACAAGGCTAGTTTATTAAAGAAAAGACAATATGAATTTGAGAGTTGTAAAACGGTTGTATTCTGGAACTTCACTATAAATACCACAATTATTATTTACTATTTAAGGCAAGAAAGTGCATGGTCCTGCAACATTTTCTCACTGAACTATTGAAAGATTTAGCCAAATGCAATAGAATGATCAGGAAATTAATTTTGTGTCTCTGACTATAAGGACATGACTCTGCAAACACTTACCACTGGGTTTAGACAATGGGACTCCTCAAAGAAGTAAGCGCTCGATAATAAGGGTTTGCAAGATGGGGCCCTAATACTATGGTTGTACTGGGTGTTAAGAGCCTGTAGCTTGCTGCACAGCCTAATTAAATTAGTATACATATAAAAGAATATTGTTTGAGAATGACCTTTAATTTAAATTTTCAGGCATGCATGGGCATAAACATAAGTAGAATTCTCAGCTTTAAATTCTGTAGCTTATAGCTTGTGCATTGTGAATGTTATTTTGTTATAAGAGCTCCCTTTGTTTTTGTTTTTTCCTTTGTTACTAATGTAATGTCCCTAAATTTGCTACAGACAAATACCTTGGAAGTATTGTATCTTGGCTTTTACTTCTGGCTCTTATCTCTTTTAAGTGGGGTTTATTAGATGAGATCATCTACAAAGGACTTATTTCAGTTATAAAATGGAATTAAAAAGTAGAAATACAATTAGTAGTTGTTCTCTCTGACTCGGTTTGAGAGATTAGAGTATCAATGTCAAAGAGAATAACTGGGTTTCTAGAGTATGTCTGCTATGGAACTTTTGTTTTATCCTGTTTTGTCCTCTCTTGCTGCACTGTCTAGGGGATAGGATCAGAAGAATTTCATTCTGTTCCTTTGCATTGTCTTGAAGAGAGGTTTTGCTTCTCAGCACAATCCAGAGCTGAAAGCACTTTTCAATTCCCAAAAATAAATGACCACCAAATGCTTGCTTTATTGAGCCTTTAAAAAAGTTAATCCTGTTAATACTCCTATCCTAAGTATTCTGTACACATTGTTATATTAAAACTACTTGGGGGTGCCATTGTAAAATTTTAGTTTATAAGACTTGTTTAAACAAGGTTTTGACATTTTAAATTTCTCATACCTCTTATTTTTACAGTTCCTGACCTTCAATACCTATTCCAGGTCACTTGGAATTTCTCTCAGCCAAGAGACAGGTTCATTGGCTTAAGAGTTACCTGGTAAGGATTATTCACTATATTATTGCCTAACTATTTCCTGTGTTTATGAACGTGGTATAGCGGAACTAAGATGTTTTGAATATCTTAATAAACTACATTAAAATGACCTACCTGAATCAAACTTTACAATCTGATTTTTGTTGCAAACGTTTGTATCATCTTATCTCTCAAATGAAACATTTTCATTTATTCTTTCAGGCAAAAACTGTCCTTAGTAAATAGATTATTAATAGATTTTTTGAGTAAAAATCTGCCTTGTAAAATCATGAATGCTCATCTTACACAGCTGGTATGTAAATCTATCTTAGAAGTAAATCATCATTTATTACTTCATCAGAAGATTATTGATTTTAAAAATACACGAAATTCAAGATTAGAATTCATTGTGTTAATTTTATCACACATTTTATTGTTTGCACAAGTTCTATAGAACATCTCTCATGCATACTATTAAGGGTGCTTTTCTGGTCTGTATTGCTATGCGAACAACATCTTTTTAAATGAATAGGTTTTTTGCATAATAGGTCATAGACCTGATTCTCCTCTCAGCTGTTATTGGTATAGTTCAAAAGTAATCCCTATTAAGTCTTTGGGTTCAGAATGGGCTAAAAATAATGTGAAATCAGAATTGGGTTTCAGGCTCTTAAATTTGTAATAAAAGTCTTGCTTTGTCACTGGTAATTTATTCTAGGAAATATCCTATAACGAATTCTACCATTATTGACTGATTTTTAAATCCAAGATTCTGATGGCTTCTGTTCCAAAGTTGAGTTCCTGTTGTGTTACTTTTACATTACAAGCATGGTGCTTGATTCTCCTCTCAACTGTACATGTATTGATCAGTAGTAACTCCACGTACTTCAATGGATTTACACTGATTTGAAACTGGTCAGAGGAAATTCAGGCCCACCAAGCTATTGTATCATTGAAGTTAATGGAACTACTAGATGTGACTGAAGTTAAGCATATATCTAAATATTTCAGGATTGGGGTCTTTATAAAGGGGGGGGAAACCTTATTAAAACTAACTCAATGTGAGGACCTGATCAACAGTTCTTTAAGTTTGGTAAAGAATGCTGCCCTATACAATCAACTTAGACAAAATTACTCTGGTTAAAATCTTAACTAATTCCATTGACTTCAGTGGAACTATTTTGGATTAACACTGTTGTAAACAAAGGTACATTCTGACTTATTGAGTCCATTGACTTCTGTTGGATTTCCATAAAATTCTTGCTTGAGTAAAACAGGGGTGTAGGACTGGCTCTTTGGTAACAAAAAAAGTTTCAGACAATTGGCTAAATATCTTGCAAAGGCTTGCCTTGTTTTCTAATGACTTCATCAGTTGGAATAAAAATGAAACCATTTCAGAATTCAGTTATTTGTTATAATTTTAACACACAGGGAACAGATGGGAAAATTAAATACTACAACGCATCTTGTAATTTTGGGGTTCATTGTAACCTCTGATCCTGCTGAGGAAGTTAAATATATTTACATAAACTCCCATTCAGTTCTAATTAGTTAAACCTACCTTTCTCTTGACCATATTCCTTAGAGGTCATCACATAAACCATTTAAATTGATCGCAATATTATGCACTAAGAAATTAATTTTGCATTGTATACCATTTTTATTATGACTTTATCTTGTTTCAAAGTGCTTACTTTCTGATTTTGTGGATATTACTGACTGTGGATTACTTTTATTTTGGTTTTTACACAACAGTTATATTAGAAATTTGCTGTTTTATTCTTACCTTCTTAGTAAAAATCCTTTTATCACACAATGGGTAATTTATATCCATTACCAGCCCTTTCAATCCTTTTCAGTGGTGCTGTCAGTGCCTTTGGCACAGTAATGATTAATGTGATCTAATAATAGTGTGCCATTATATTACCTTAGTAAAACATGTACCAACATCCTATTCAGATCTACCAAATTCATAGCTTCCTATAATATTTTTGTTGAAAGACAGGATTACTATTTTTCAGAGCTGATTTTTTCTCTTTAACATATTTAATGAAATTCACAATTCTTTGCCATGGTAATCTTTGTGCATGTGTTTGGGCTTGATGAGTGAATTTTATATCATTCTGCATTATTATGATTTGTTAGGCAAACTGTTTGACATGTAAAGAGAGATACCAGTTACATTGTGTTGCTTTGTTAAAGGGTGCATTTTAAACATTCACCACCTTCTGGCTATTTCCCTGGGTTCATAATAGGTGACATTAGAGTTTGTGAGAATAAGCACTTGGTATAAAATGTTATTGCTCTTTCTCCTTGTTCTACCTCTAAATCACCAATTTAGCTCTCCTGGCACTGCCACACACACCAGGGGAGGCAGATTCCAGTGTATCCCCTGCCATTCTATCCAACAATATCAACTTTGCTACAATGACTTTGGTGCCATCCTCTTTTTTGGCAGGTTCCTTGCCTCTTAGCAAAGAGTTACTCTACAGATTAGTGCCCGTGAGCTGGAAGTTGGAATCATGCAGTGCTGTACCTTGTTTTGGATCCAGCCATCATACATCCTTATATTTTGACTGCAAAATCAGGTATTTCTGTTTGTCAGAAGCAGGGAATGGGCAACAGGGAATGGATCACTTATTGATTACCTGTTCTGTTCATTCCCACTGGGGCACTTGGCATTGGCCATTGTCTGAAGACAGGATGTTGGGCTAGATAGACCATTGGTCTGACCTATACTGGCTGTTCTTATGTTCTGTTGCATTATGTGATCCTAGCCTCCAAATCTCAGATGGGGACTTTGCACTTTGAGGCCAAAAAGCTGACAAAGCAGAGGGCAAAGTCAAATGGCAAAAAATGTTTGTGGGTTGCTAGAGTAACACTGGGATCTACCTATAAACTCTACTGCCTCTCAGCCCCAACTGTTTGAGTTAAATAGTTTCTTCATGCAGGGTGTGTCTCAAATCAAAATTATTTTCTGGAGTTACTTTCTCTGAACACATGATCCCTGTATGCTTGGTATAAAGTTCCTAGTCATAATACTCTTTTTGATATAGGAGATAATTTTGGGACATCTATCTAAAAACCCTCATAATCAGTGTAATTTAAGAGTTTGGATAACACGCCATCTCCACAAAGAATCTTAAGTCTTCATCGCCCAAAGATATCATTATTGCAGACAGGGTGACATACACTTACCCAATTTCACAGTTAAATCTCAGTGGAACAGCATGTCCATATTTTAGCTCTGCTGTGTGGGGTTAAATGCATACACTTTCACATGGTTTCACCACATCAATATAAATAATGAATGAGATAAATATTTTAATCTTCTCAATAGCAACAATATCGAAAACCACCCAATATAGTTGTGTGGTTCTGTATGGATTCCTTATTTGATTTAGGCTTAAAAGTACAGCTATATCAGATTTGAAATGTGCAATCAGGTTAAACAAGGAAAAATATTTTCAATACACATGTATAAAACTGTGAATTTTTAAACACATTTTAGTAAAAAATTAGATGGTGATTGTCCTATGTCACATAACAATATTACTTGCAGTATTTGTAACATTGTTCTCTGCCACATGGGATACAATTTTGTATCTTGGTCATGTAAATAGAAGATATTCTCATCTGCTCTATAAAACTGATTCTTAATGATATATATAGCAAGTGAGAAAAAAGAAAAACACAATTTTTTTGTTGAACTGTGTATTGCAAGTGCCTGAAACAAGATGAAAAAACTACTTCCCTCTTATAAATAATGAAGTATATATTTAATGTACAATGTAACCTGCCTTATGAGGTGAGCCAAAAATCAGTTGACTAGGGGAATATTGACTTAAAGTTCAAAGAAAATTGTACTGGCCACTGAATGGTGCTACCTTTATAGTTGTCATTTTGTTACTGAGTTAGAATAGCCAGGTTACTTATGCAAATTACATTGTGTAGTATTGCTCAATTACTCATGAATCCTGTATTTGTAGCAGTCTAGCATCAAGTTTTATGGTATGTTATGTTTTTTTTCTCCAACAAAGAACTGACTTTTAAATAGATTATTTATCCCACAATCCTCCTTGAACTTTCCAATATAATCTTGATAGATTTTGTACTAGATAGTCTATGGCCTAAAGCATTTTCAAATCTTCATCAGTCATTTCTCTGAAAATATTCTTGTTCTTTCCATTAACCATCCCAACATTTATTCCAGAAGGAGGCTCTGGAAAAATCCATGGTGCAGTGTGTAGGACAAATGCGCCAGTCTTTAAAGGCAGTTGTGTGCCACTCTTCCTCTGAAAAGAAGTTCCAGCAATGCCAGCTAGTGAAGGATTATTTTTCATGGGGGATCCTGGGATCATGTAAAGCTACATTAGTGGCTCTTGTGTCACACACCCAATGGCAGAAGGGATTATGTCTGGTAGACAGAGCGGTTGGTAGCTAGGACTTTCCTGCATACTAGCAATCCTATTAGCAGTTAGTGAAGCAGCCCTTAGATTCTTCTAATCTGCTCCAGGAGACCAGCCTATCACTGCACTGGCTAAGGATCAAGGGCTGCAAAAGTAACCTAAAGGTACTTTTGCCCATTCTCTCTTCTTGTACTGAATGCAGGTTGGCTGGACTACCAATCTAGCCCTGTCACTTGACTTAGAATTATTATTTACATGGAAATGGAACAAAAGCGGATCCTTGAACTGAGCCCCTTTGTATTTCACTGCAGAGGAAGGTTTTGGATTTAAATCCTGGATACAAGATGGAACTGCCATTTTAGTGCCAGGTAAGATCCACGTTGAGATTTTTTTTTCAGTTTCACATTCTTGATGTAACTGAAATTGTTGTGAAATTTCCACATAATGAATCTGGTGCCAAATTAATAGCCCTAACTTATCTCAGATCCAATTCCAAACCCTAAAGTATAAACCAAATCAAACTTTCAGTCCAAAGACTGATTCCTCAACAGGCAAATATTGGTAGGATAAACAAAAGAGCTCACCCCAATCCATGAAATGTGCTATGGCCTAATCCTTGAATGGAAAAAAATGACTTTTTGTTTTTCTAAGACACTATTTATCTAATTTTATCATTTTTCGCATCACAAGAGTCCAGCAGGTCAATTCCTGAAATAGGTGACTTGCAGCTTGAGCTCTTGGGTTTTACTCTCACTATTGCCACTAAATAAGTTGTGATTTTGAGCATGAAATGGGCATAATGCCACTTATCCACCTCACATGGGTGCTGTAATTGGTGTTTGGGAAGTGCTTTGAGATTTGTAGATGGAAATGTGAAAGTGATTTGCTTTAGGAGTGTAAAATTAATCCTTTTTATTTTTTCTTGACCTTTTCAGTCCTCAGTTAAGTCTTGATTTGACTTTTAAGCCATCATTCCACCTGGTTACTGGGTTAGTCACTTTGGTTTATCCATTTCTATTAATCTGAATAGAAATATTACAGGTATTGCTTTTCCAATCAACTGAACCTCTATGTAGATCATGAATTACCATTTTTACCACTTGAACCCCTTTCTCTAAAAATATGTACAATTTTAGAAAGGAATGGAATTGGGCAGAAAGTGTCACTTTATTGTGGCATACACATATTCTCCTTGCTAGACTGAAATATTTTCATGAATTTACCATCCATTGAAATTTAATAGTTTTTTTTCTTTTATCAAATATGACAGTAGCTTGCTGGTAAAATAGGCATGATTGTGCTACTGTAACAATGGCTATTCATCATCATTTATAATTACCAGTTACCTTGTCCAATCATGGTAAGATCATTTACCAATGACCAACCCACAAGTTTTCTGTATATAGGAAATTGCTGGATCTTTCACATACCTATGTATTATCTGACAATTCAAATATTCTGTGCGAATGTACATACAAGTGTAGTATACTTGTTCCCAATGTCAGTATATAAGAAGGTAAAAAAGGGAAGATAGGGGAAGGTATGTAGCCTGTGAAGAAGCAGAGTGAGGAAAGTGGTCTTTTTCTTCTTCAAAGAGATTTCATAGAGAGAAGCAGAGGCACATACAGCACTGCAGACTACATCTTCACTCTGTCCTTGTTCCCCTTCTTATCTTGGAAACGTTCAGCCATATCCATCTTCAATCACATCAAATCCTCCTCTTCACTTTTAGCTATCTAGTGCACCCTCACATCTTCCTGCACCTTAGCTACTTCACACATTAAGTTGGGGTTAGATGCCTAGCACTCACTTGCTTTTCATAGATCATGGAAACAGCAAACATGCTCTTATCTGCATTCAGCTAGGCTCAAAGTAAGGTACCTCAGAAATAACATGCATTCAGATTCCCCTCCCTGCTCCCCGCTTTTAAGCTTTCTTAGCCACTTACTGTACACTGCTGGTGATCTCATATATTCCCCCACTCAAATGAATTTTAACCACTCATTTATATAAGCAGATAATCTGAACAAGCTTATTACTGTAGGATAGATCAAACAAAAGGGAAATGTTGCACACCTGCATGTGTACAGCCTTACCTAAGAATAGCAGAGTGAAGCTAAGCTAGTCAACAATTCCTTCTTGACATTTGTTAAAAAATACTATACTCTAGAGGTTTTTAAATTACCTCCTTGAAGATAGCATGTGATGCCTACCGCTGTGGTAATTTATGCCCTCCTCCTCCTCCCCTTCATCTCCCACTCTGTTGCTAAAGAGATCCATTTTGGCCTTGGCCTTGTATTCTAAGTAGTGGTCTGATCTAACTCTTGTTGAAGTCAATGAGTCTTTCTGTTGACTCCTGTGGGGGATGGAGCCTAATCTACATCTAAGTCCCCCTAGTAGCTACTGCAACTAATTCTGTTCCTTTAAAAATATTCTAAAATAAAAAAACATTCCTCCAGTTTTTAACCCTGATTGCTAATACTGTACTGTTTCTTCAACACACTTTCTATTTCTTCACATATATAAGTTTGTTGTTGTTGTTAAAAATAATAATAAAGAATGTGGAAAAAGGCAGAACAGGGAGAATGCTGTAGGTTTACTATTTTTCAGATATGAAATTCTGCTAAGAAATTGTTGCACAATCCTGACTTAAAAATAGTGCTGGTAAGAAGAACAAGTTCAAAACTGTGAACATGACACCTGCCCACATATAAACTACTTGCTGGGGATTTGCTCTGGGGATAGCCAACAATCCTCAAGTGTAGAGCTGAATCAATACCCATCTTCCTTTTCTTTCCTCTCTTTCCCAAACTCTTCTATGGTATTATTTTTTTAAAAAAACCTTGAATATGCCTGCAAAAAAATAGAGCAAATCTCATCTCTCTCTGACCAATGATCTCAAACCCAGGTTTGATTTGACCGTATCCTCTGTGCAAAACACTGCAGGATTCCAGACACCCCCTGTGGACAACTGCAAAGTGTATAACCAATCAAGTATGCCAAAGCTATGGAAAGGCAGAAAATGGCAAGACTTGAATCTATCCCAAGAAAAGTAAACACATATTACAGTCTAGCTTTATATTTCAGAGTGCAAGATTTTACTTTTTCAATAACTACTGTATTTTGATAATAGGCATCAAGTGGTTGCTATGTGATACACAACAGTGTTTTTCATGAAC